AGGGATTTGTTCACAATTTGGCTAAATCAGGAGACTAGATAAATTTCTCCAACTGAGAACACATTTTATTGCCATTTATTTATTTATTTATTTATGTTCCAGAGATCAAACTCAGGATCTTGTGCTTGTGAGGCAGGTGGTGGAACCACAGAGCTAAATCCCTGGCCCATTTTTATCACATTTAAAAGTACTTTGTACTATGACTTATTTTTTAAGTTACTACATATAGTGTGGCTGAGAAAAGATTTCAATATAGTCCATCTGTAACACATTTTACTGAAGTCTTTAATTCTATATATCTTCTAAGGTGAGAATAAACAAAGCAAGTTTTCCCCTCAGTGGTAAAGGAAATAGCTCTTGTCAGCTGGCTATAAACAGTGTAGAAGGTGATAACTCAGCAACAGGACTAGCATTTACAGCACATTAAGGCAACAACAGAGATGGATTCAGGATAATAAGACTTTGAAATGAAGTAAAGCACATTACATGTCATTTTAAGCATTAGTTTATTCAACCAGAATTATAAACCAAAGTTTACCTTTAAAAATACTTTCAACAGATATCTAAGTAAATCCTCACTCATAACACTTGATTTTCTTAGGCAAGCAAATCCTAACAAAAGACAGTAGAGAACAGAAGAAATGATACTTTGATGGAAGTAAAATCTTTATTCTTTATGCTAGTTTTTAAAAATTTTACCAAAAACAAAGCAATGCTTTAAGTATATATATATATATATATATATATATACACAAACATACATTTATTTGCCATTAGAGTGACAATTATGAGTAAATAAGGAACATTTCAGTGCTGTTATGATAAATAATACTTCTCAGAATCCTTTAAGAAAATAGGGGACAGGGGTCTCTGGACCATACTTAGAACCACTGGTCTACCCCAAGGATCTGAAAACTTTTTCTGAACAAATATGTCAGACTTTACAAGCCATAAATCTCTCTGTTGTTCCTCCTCAATTTTAGTGTGAACTCAGCCACAGAGAACAGACAAGTACACATGGCCATGTTGCAAAAATACTTTATCTACAGGGCCAGGGATTTAGCTCAGTGGTTTCGCCACCTACTGCACAAGCGCAAGGACCCAAGTTCAATCCCCATACCAAAAAAAAAAAATTTATCTACGAAACCTGCAGTGGGCCGGTTTATGAACATGGACCATCATTATCTGTCTTGAGTCAGACAATGGAATGTCAGACAGGTTACAATTATGCTATAAAAATATTCATACTGGGGCCAGGGATGTAGCCTAGTGGCGCCTTGCCTGCCTGGCAAGCACAAGGTCCTGAGTTCGATCCCTGGTACCAAAAAAAAATTTTTCATATTGGCAGAGAACAGGTTAAACTAGGTAGTGAGAAGAAAGCAGACAACAAAAACACATGTAAGACATAACCTCAATGTTTGTAAGAGAAAAAACTTACATGTATATTTTCAAATCATAAAATAACACATCAAAATATCAATTTTCTTTTGGAGGCAGGATGTCACTGAGTTGTAAAGTCACCCACCTGGGCTCTAACTTGAGCTCCTCCTGCCTCGGCCTTCTACAGTGCTGGGATTATGGATGGGCACCAGCATGTTCAGCTAAAAGGTACCAGTGACCATTTCTGACTGAAAGATTACGTATGATTTCTTTTTGCTGGTATGTATTTTATATTATGAATAGGTATTACTGTCATTATGAATATTTTCTAAGGTTTTTATTAGGTAATTAAAAGAAAACAGTATTTGGAAATCAGGACAGCTTTAAACTGAACTGCTTTCCTTTCAGGAGCATAGCGGAGGGCAACAGCATGGCCTCATTGCTTACCGGAGCTGTCAGCTGTCGGCGATGTCCCTTCAGCCCTGCCGGGCGTGGGTGCGAGGGTGACAGGAGAGGCGCTGGTCCCCAGCGTGGGGCGGCTCTGCCAGGCTTCTCCAGCTCCCTCTGTGGCTCTGACGGTGGGATCCGTCACCGGGCCATCACTGCCCAACATCCAAATCATCGCTGTTGTGCTGACGTTCGTCGTGGTCAGTGGAGCGCCAGACACTGCAGCCAGGGCTGTGGAGAGACGGTGTGGGGTGAGTGAAGGCTCCCTGTCCCGGGAGACGGTGACAATTCTCACAAAGCCCTCACACCGACGGACCCCAGACAGCTGCCCGGTGAGGACGCCGAGCTCGCTGCTCCCCTCCAATCATAACTGCAGCACCAGCACCCTGGAAACTGCAGACTCCGGCCACGGAGAGGGCCCGGGGCCACGACACTGCAGACACTGCCAGAGTCACTCGCAGGACAAGTCAGCCGCCAAGGGCCCCCCCCGCCCAAGGACAGGCTCTGGAGAGGACCCTGGCCCCCGCTGGCTGCTTCCTCCTGATGCACTTCTGAGCCTCCCTGAGCCTCTGTTCATGGGGGGGGGGGGGGAGCACAGGCTGCTCTTGGCCCCCAAAATACACCCCACCTTTCCTTCATCCTGCATTCCCACACTTCTGTGTACATGGCTGTGGGGAATGGAGACTCCATTTCCCAGCCTCCCTTGTAGCTACGGGGAGCCATGGGAGCCGTGTGACCAAGCTACAGCCAATAGAATGGGAGGAATGAGAGCAGAAGCCCTGCAGGACTTCTAGGAAGTTGAGTCTGAAGGGCAGAGCTCTGCCTGGGGCCCTGCATCCTTCCTGGAACTGGAATGTGGACCTGATGGCTGGAGCTCTGGCTGCCTGGCTCCAGAACCAACACGGTGATGGTGGCAGCTTCCTGATCCTAGGCTGACAGCCCAGAACACAGCCTCTGGGACCCAGCAAGGACAGCTACAGTTTCCTAGTTCCTCACTCTGCTGATGGGGCCAAACAGGTGACGCTCCGTGTGAGTCGGCTCCACAGCCTTAGTGTGGGTCAGTTCTGGGGATGAGCTGAATCCTGTTCCCCAGTGGTATGGGCTGAACTGTGCTGAAGCCCTAAGCCCGCCCCTCAGGCTGGACTGTGTCTGCACACGTCCTTCATCAGACAGCTGTCCATCTAGAGGTCAGCACTGGACCCGGACTGAGGATTCCCAGGAAAGACGCAGCGGTGCAGAGAGCCACCTGCAGGCCGGGAGCAGAGGCCTCAGGAGAAGTCGCAGCTCTGGCCCCGAAGTCCCTGTGAGTGCGTGCATGCGTGTGTGTGTCCGGGGCAGCCCCGGCACACTGCGGCACCTTCTTCTCCCCCACCCCTGGATTCCGCTTCACAGGACGTAGCCCTGTAGGTTTGCTCAGCTCCACCTCCTGCACCCCGTCCTACCAACATCGCTTCCCAGTGAACAGCGGGACTTGGCCATGGCTGCATGCGGAGATCCTGAGCTCTGCATAATTACCGTTATTACCAAAATTGGCTTTATTAGGAGGTGTCAGTGAGGCCTGCCCCTGTGGAGGGCACTGTGAGAGCAATCTCTTTTATCTGTGTAGTTCACAGAATTTGGAATTTTTCCAAGCAGAAATAAAATGTTCCCCAATTTTAAGGACAATCAACAGCTACCTTTTTAATTTTTCACAAAAAATATTTTTTTAAAAACTATTAACTGTTGGGTGTGGTGGCAAACACCTGTAATCCCAGCACTCAGGACGCTGAGGCAGGAGGATCGCTGTGAGTTCGAGGCCAGCCTGGGCTACATGGTGAGACCCTGTCTCAAAAAACCAAAACAAAAAAACAATTGACTACCATTATCTTTATGTCCTATTGAAACATCTTATGACCAAAAATAATTAGTGAGGCCATAATCCTGGAATGGGTGGTGCTTTCAAATGCTGCATATTAAGCTTCATGGGAAACCTGCCATTCTATACTTATTTTTCTCATTTTGTTATAAGATCAGGGAATGAACCATCTCCAGCCAGCAGCCAGAACTTAGCCTTACATGTCACGTGTCAGAGGTCACGATTTGTTTTTCAGGATCCTGGGACCAGGCCTAGAGCCGGGCACAGGACAGTACACCCAGCCCAGTCTCCCGAGTAAAAGCAAAAGGCACAGGAGGCCACTTCCTGTTCCCCAGAGGTTAGACAACATAGAATCTACATCATTTTTTAAATGCAGCAAGGTATCAGCGCAAGAGCAGCACAGCAACAAGAAAATACATAGGGGAAGCTGCACATAAAATATAAAAGTAGCCTATTACTTTTTTCATTAAGTTAAATCACCCATGAGTATAAGTCAGCAAAACGGAAAAAAAAAAATCACTTTTTGTTTTGGTTTTTTGAGACAAGGTCTTACTATATAGCCCAGCTGGCCTTGAACTCACAGTGATCCCCCTGCCTCAGCCTCCCAAGTGCTGAGATTACAGGCACTGACTGTGCCTGGTTCTGAAAAATCACTTATTTTTAAGACAAGGTTTGCATTACATTGCCCAGGCTGGCCCCAAACTCCATCCCAAGTAGCTGGGACTGCAGGTGCATCATAGAAAATATAACTTTTCATAGTGAGGACCGCACAGTCCTCTGAATTCGACTTCCTCGGCTGTTTCCACCCTAACCCCACTTCTGAGGAGACGCTGCAGAGGGTTTCCCCTCCATCCCTTCCGCGATTTTTCCCGTTCGCTGTGACTCTCGCTGTGCCCACGAGGGGGCGGTCGCGCGGCGGGGACAGCGGCACTCACCCTCTGGGACGCACAGGAGCTGCAAGAGAACAGACAGGAGGTCAGCGCCTGGGCCCTGCAGGGAAACTGTGCCACAAGGCCCGGGCTGCAGAGTCAAGCTCTTCCGGAGCAGGACAGCACATCCCTCCCCAAGCCGCGCCCTCCCCGCCCACAGGAGGAGGCGCCACAACCCACAACCCAGGCCTGGGGCCCGGGAGTCGGACTCCAAGAGCCTACAGCAAGCCCGGTACAGCGGCGCACGCCCATCATCTCAGCGCTCCGGAGACTGAGGCAGGAGGGTTGCCACCAGTTCGAGGCCAGCCTGAGCTACATAGCGAGACCCCGTCCCCCCCTCCCCAGAAAAATAAACAAAAAAAAGAGGGGGCAAACTGAAGGAGGAGTGGCCGCTGGCCTCTATTTGTGTCCTGAAGTCGAAGCCCAATCAGCAGAGAATCCGGGGCAGAATATTTGGGTCACACCTCGGTGGGCCATGCTCTCCCCTTTCTGTTCCCTCTCCTTGCCTCCCTGGACTTGACTTCCCAAATAACTCGTCAGCACTGGCCTCCGAGCCCGAGGGATCTAAGGGACTCAGGCCAAGACACAGAAAAAGACTCAAGAGTCTGCAAGGGGGGCCCCTGGGGAACAGCGTCCTCACTGATGGGGGGAAAAGGAGGAAAAATGCCACCTTGCTGTGGTGGAGTCCATGGGATCCATCTGTGATGTCTGGGGCTGTTGCAGCCGCTCTGTGAGCAGAAAACACCCACCTGCGAGGTGGCTGAGAGGAACCAGAGACAAGGCCTGTTCCTTGAGCTGCTGAATCAGCCAACTCTAGACCCTTCTGCCTCCAGACACAAAATGCCCCTTACTGCTTTAACTGCGCGTGTTCAAGTCATCTGTTATTTGCAAGAAAAGTGCCTTAGCGATCAGAACGACAGAGCAAGGGATCTGATGTTCACATTCACTTTCCTTTTACAGAGGAAAAAACTGCAAAGCCAATGATGCCTTGTCCAGAACCGCAGGAGATACATCTGGAACCGTGGGGGTCAGCCAGACTCCCCTCCCCCTTCCACTTGATGCCCATAAATGATACCCACAGGACGCTTGGCAGGGTTCCTACGGTTTGTAAGGAATACAGTCAACAGAAAGTGCATCTTCCTAAAAGTCAATCAAAGACAAACTCTGGATGGGGCTAAGACCAGAGGCAACCAGTTCCCAATGTTGTGCACTGAGAAAAAGTTCATTGCAGAGCAGAGGAAGTCTGTTGACACTCTACAGCCCAAACAGCTGGGTGTGGCGGGAAGAGGACCTTGGCCTTGCCCTGCAATGGCTTGGGCTCTGCAGAAAAAGCCCCGCTGCCGCCATGAGTGACTCCCGGGGTCCAAGCAGGAGAGGAAGCAAGTGTCCCCGGCTCCTCCTCTGTGAACCCGTGGGAACCCTGGGCGACAGGAATTGCAACCCCACTGACAGAAGGGCCCTGGGGGAGCCCCTGGCCCACGGTCACAGGGCTTGAGCTTGGCCCAGGGACAAGGGGACAGGTGAAAAGAATGTGACAGGCGGGGGGCGCACACCTGTGATCCCGGCACGCGGGAGGCTGAGGCTGGAGGAGTGCTCTGAGTTCAAGGCCAGCCTGGGCTACACAGAGGGACCCTGTCTCAATCAATCAATCATCAATCAATCAGATGGTACCGGTGCTCTAGCTGCTGCAGTCCTGTCAGTCAGCTGCCTGGCTACCCTGACTCTCTCTACAACCCTCTCTGGAGCATCAAAGCCCACAGCTGGAACCAGACCCTCCCCTTGAGTGACAGGCCCTGGCAGCTGTCTTCCAGTCGCTCCCTCCTCTACAGCGGCAGACAGAACAGGCTGCTGGGTCAGCCTGTGATCCAGAGCTCACCAGGACCCTGGCAGGCACAGAGTCACACCCAGCAGGGAGGGGGAGGAGCCTGTCAGGTCGTTCTCAAAGCTGTGGGAAGAGCTAAGGAGCTAAGGGAAACTAACAAGGGATATGCAAGAGTCCTGGGGTCACCAGGGAGAACAAGCAAGGAGGCCTGGGCCACCTCTCCCGGGCACTGGCTGGGGCCTCCTGCAGGGCCAGTCCCATGGGAACCCTAGAGAGTGACCGTGAGACCAGGTGCCAAGGAGTGTGGGGGACGGGAAGCAGGGGTGCGGGCATTTGAAGTCAACACGAAGGGGAGTACTATTCTGCCATAAAGAAGGATAAGCTTGTCATCTGTAGGAAAATGGATGCACTTTGAGATTTGATACCACAACGTGAAGTAAACTAAATCGGACACAGGCTTAAATAGCACATGGTTTCTCTTACACAAAGTGTAAATAAGGAGCAAAATAAGAGATGGTGAGAAGGGACAGAGATCTTTTGCAAAAGGGAAAAAGACCAAGAGATGCAGGGGACAGGAGGGGACCTACAAGGGTTAAGACGTGATACGCGAATGCTCCAGCTCCCGGGAGCAATGCATCACTGTGCACCGCAAACATGTGCTGAAACAATTTTTAAAAATATGAAAGAAGAAAAAAGCCTGGAAGTGCGGCTCATGAAGCGAGGAAGCGAAGATGCCAGCCAGCTCTGCACCCTGAGGCCAGGACCTGAGCCCCTGCACGGGAGGGCCAGGCTGTCCTGGACTCAGGTCACCGGGGAGCCCGCCCGTCCCGCTTTCCAGGGTGGCAGGGACTGAGCAGCACTGTGGAACCCGGAGCCCCTCGCCCCGCCAGGCCCACACACCATCTGACAGCAGCTATTACTCCCCGACGCAGCAAACCAAAAGGAGAACCGCTCCAAGGCACGCTCGCTCGGGGATCTGTTCAGGATCGGATCGCGTTTTACGGGCCTGGAGCACGGGGAGCGCCTTCGCCATTTCCCTTGGGAAATTCTCCAGCAACTCCCCGAAAACCTGGCCCCCAAGGGAGATCACCGATCAGGAGACGCCAGGATGCTCCCCGGTGACGAGGGTCCCCGCGCTGTCACTGAGAATCCACACTCAGGTGCGGCACCTGGGCGGCCGCAGGCCCTGGCATCTGCTCGCCACGGAGCAAAAGGCAGGCACGGCCGGCCCCAGACCGAGGGGACCCAGGGCACAGACAGCAGGCAACGGCGGCGAGGGGTGCAGCCTCTTCCCAGCACTCGGGAGGCTGAGGCAGGAGGGAAGGAAGGACGTTCCGTGCAGACTCGAACTCCTCTGATGTGCGTGTGTGCGTGTGTGCGCACGCGGCATGTGCTCCCCAGCTGCGCCTGTGACCGGCGTGGCCCAGGCAGAAGCCGCCGGGTGCCCCATGTGTGTGCGGCACACTCGGGCGAGCGCTTTCCTCGCCTCTCAAAACTCGGATCTGGGTAGGGAATGTTTAAAGTGAAAATTAAAGCAAACAAAATTAAAGCTCGTTGCCAGGACAGCCAAGGAGCACCACAGAATGCAAATGGAAAACAAGTGCGGGCCGAGGGAAGAAAGGGAGCCTCAGGAGGGCTCGCAGCGGCAGCTCGACCCAGCCGCTCTCACTGAGGGAACCAGGATCCTCACCGATGCCCGGGACCCTTTCCCACACCGCACTGTGCCCGGGTGCCGGCCGGGCCGGCCGCACTGTCGGAACCCAGCCCCACACCGCGCCCTTCCTCTGACCATGGCGTTTCTGAAAATTGTGACTACATATTTAAAATCAAGGAAACTGGGCCGGGGATTTAGCTCAGTGGTTCGGCCGACTGCCTCGCAAGCGCAAGGTCCTGAGTTTGATCCCCAGTACCCAAAAATATTAAAATAAAATAAAATCAAGGACACTAGCATTTTTTATTTTTGAGTCAGGGGCTCCTATGTGGTCCAGACTGGCCTTGAACTCAGCGATCATCCTGCCTCAGCCTCCTGAGTGCTGGGATGACAGGTGTGCACCACTATGCTCAGCTGCCTAGAATTTTTTAAATACTAATTTTGGTTTTTCAAAGATTTTCAAAATGTTTTTAATTTGTCTGCCTTATCTGGCCATAATCAAGCCATTAGCTGCACCTGAGTGTCAGCCTCGCTGTCTGTCACCCAACGCTGAGGACAAAGGGCCGTTACCAAGCAACACACCAGCCACACTGCTGGCTTCCTCTGTCAAACCTGAGCACAGGGAGGTCGGAGAGAAGCCGACTTTCCTGAACCAGCCTTGCGTCACGTGCAGTCACGGTCCGGCTGCCCTGGAGACAGCAGAGCGTGGGGCCCGCGATCCAAGTGCACCTGCCACTGATGTGCGCAGTGACAGCCACTGTGAACTTCTTCCTTTCAGTTCCTTTCAGGCAGAGACTTCCAGCCAGTGCCCGAGGGAACACCCACCTGGCCCTGAACTCCCTCCTCCTCCTCCTCCCCACTGTGCTCCCACCCTGCCCACTCCTAAGCCCTGAGGAGCAAAGCGGGCCGAGTCCTGATGCTCAGGTGAGGCGCATTTCCCACACAGGACCTGGCACAGCCATCTGGAAAGCTCCCCACTGCCCACCCGGCCCATCTGCCTCGAGTGTGGACAGCACTGGCCAGGCTGCCGCATTCTGGGCCAGAGCCCTATACCCAGCCAAGGGACCCACAGACCACACCTTCCTGTCCCCATCTCTGCATCCGTCCCAGGTCCCAGGTTGGCCGGCTCCGCTCTCCACAGGCCACATCCAGCAGGGGCTGAGGGCACCAGTCCCAGAGGCCTCCCGAGGTCCTGTTGCCTCCACAGAGCCCCAGAGTCACTGAGGGTCCTCCAGGCTCACAGCAGTGCCCGCTGCACGGAGGAGTGGAGGGCACCAGTCCCAGAGGCCTCCCGAGGTCCTGTTGCCTCCACAGAGCCCCAGAGTCACTGAGGGTCCTCCAGGCTCACAGCAGTGCCCGCTGCACGGAGGAGTGGAGGGCACAGATGGGGGTGGGGGAGATGCGGGACCAGGACAGACTGGAACGGGGACCATGTTAATCAGGGCAGAGTCCGAAAGCCCTGGGTTCCCCTACTCTGTGCTATAGTTTGAGTGCAGTTCATGTAGCCAAAACTCCCACAGGCGCCGGGCGTGATGGTGCACATCTGTAATCC